TAAGTCTCGCCAGGCATTCGGGGCCCTTCTGGAACGAGCCTGGGCCTCCCCTTGAAGATGCCCCTCCTGCTTTGCCAAATAGCCCCCCTGCAGCCTCTCATTGTCACACCGAGCCTCCTCCTCATCCCTTGCTTCTGCCGTCCCTGCCACCTGGGATGCCTTCCCTGTCTCTCTTTGCGTTGCCAATTCCAGCCTGTTCTTCCAGGCCCTTTCTCCCAGTCCTTGGCAGGCTGAGTCCCGCCCCACCTCTGAACTCTGAACTCCTCTGAAAGTCTGCACCAAGGCTCTGTCCCTTGGGGAATCATAGCAGCTCTTGAATTTTCCATTAAATATTTTGTGGGTGTGAGTCTGGGCTCTCCAGTCAGGGTGATCTGGCAGTCGGCCAAGCTGGCCTTCACCCAAAGCAGTGACCAGGAAGAGCGCGGGCACCTCTTGACCCCCGGACTGAGAGAAGCAGCTGGACCCAAACACCCTGTGGGGCTATTTTTAGTTGCTGGTTCCCGGCAGGCCTGGCCTGGTTTGGGCCTGGATGGAGAACAATGAGCCATTGAACCTTATCGAGTGCCTGGGCCCTGTAAGGCCAGGAGGAGGGTAAATGATAGAGCGAGTGGGGGCAGTGCTCAGAGGTGGACAGAGGTTGTGTGGCCACCTCCCCCATGTCGACTGGCAGGAAAAGCTTCTACCCAAGCTCTTTGTTAGACTTCCTGTGGGGCCAGGTGCGGAGTCGGCAAGTATTTTGGGAATGCTGTGTTTGTTAGCGGGGGCAGCAGCCTTTCCAACAATTCTTGAGCCCGTTCCGTGGGCCAGACACGGTGCTGAGCACTGCATGTCCTCTTATATTTATCAGCCTCATTGTTCACATGTGGAAACTGAGGCCCAGTTCAAAGAGGCCAGGAACCTGCTCACACACAGCAAATAAGAGGATGAGTCAGGATTCAAACCCAGGCCCTCTCTGTCTCCTTCCAGAGTGTGGACACTGCAGAGCCACTCAAACCAGCCTGCTACCTCTCAGGCCCCCCGCTCCGGGACCTGTCGGCTTCAGTCTCTCCTCTCTAACAACTCTGACTCCGTGAATGACCTCAGGCAAGTCACTTGTCTTCCCTGGCCTTGGTTTACTCATTGGTAAAATGTTGGGGAGCCTTTCATTCAGGGCGTATGGGATGGTGCTTCGCAGATGGGGAGGGAGCAACGTTGTCCGGCCGCCATCTTCCCGTGTCTGATGATTTAAAAAGCCGGTGAAGCCAGTTCTGTTCATCACAGAAGGTCTTCACCCAGGACACGCATTCTGGGCGTAGTGGTTTCTAGGCTCTGTGGGATGAATGGTCTGATCTGCCCAGGCTCATTAATAGGTGAGGACAGCACAATGAGCAAGATGCATGAGAAACATCTACATGAGTCTGCTAGGGCGGCCAGAATGCAGTCCCAAGCCTGGTGGTGCCTTAAGTAGCAGAAATCTATTTCCTCCCAGTTCTGGAGGCTGGAAATCCAGGATCCAGGTACAGCAGGGTTGGCTTCTTCTGAGGCTGCTCTCTTTGGCTTGTCGTTGGCCATCTTCTCCCTGTGTCTCCATGGGTCTTCCCTGTGCACCCTTCTGTGTCCTCATCTCCTCTTCTCATAAGGACATCTGTCACACTGGCTTAGGAAGACAGTCATTCCCACTCTAATGACCTCACTGTAACTTAATAACCTCCGTAAATACAGTGACATTCTCCAGAACTGGCAGTCAGGACTTCAACATTGGAAATGTGGGAGACACCTTTCATTCCATAGCAATGTCGATTTAAAATGACTGACAGTAGCCACTTTTGCATATTGGCAGAGAGTAAATCCTGTCAGGTGAGGCCCCTCCTGGGATCTCCAAGGAGCAGAAGTTCTGAAGCTTTGGCATTAGAAATGAGAAGGGTGAGGGGACCCGAGAAGGGAGAAGGAGTTTCCAGAACACTCTGAGAGGTTAGGTTTCCCGACTCCCAGCTTGTGAGAGATTCTCTGTGGGGAAAGATGGTTGACAAATTCCTAAGAAGCATCATGTCTAACCCTGAATGTCAAGTTGTTTGGTGGCCAGCATTGGGATTGCTGTTATCCAAGTTAACTCAGCATTGCAAGGCCCTTGGGATGAGGGTTGGGGTGTCTCCAGAATGGAGCCCAGCAGGCTGCTGGGCAGAGGACAGCTGCAGATGCTGAGAGCAAGGAGGACTGGCAGGTGGACACCCACATTTATGGGGAGAGGACACACCAGGATGGTGGGTGGGGACTGGTGCTATTTCATCCTGATGGGACATCAGTGACAGGAGGATCTGGGGACACCAGGCAGCTCCCCCTGGGAATAAGGTACCTATACTGGCCTGGAGGGGTGGGCATCAAGGAAGGCTTCCTGGAGGAGGTGAAGACCAAGGTGGGTCTGGACGTGTGTCATAGATTGCTAGAGAAGGGTTGTGGCATTGCAAGCACGAGACCCTGCGAGGCTGAAGCCTGGAGGTTCTGCAGACTCCAGATCACATCTTCCTGTGGCCCAGACCGCAAACTAAGCTCTTTCCATGGTGACCAAAGCAGGCGGCCATGTAGGAGTGGGGAGCTGGCTGTGGCTTGGGTGTGGGGTGCAGGCCGAAGAGGTGCAGGAAAGACAACAGAGGAAGCTGGCCTGACCAAGAGGGGCCTGGAATGCCCAGCTGCAGACTAGGGACTTCGTGCTAAATGCAGCAGTACTCTGCAGGTATGGTGTGGTGTGGTGTGGCATGTGTATAAATGTATATGGATATCATCCATTTGTCTGATACATAGCCTGGCAGCTTTGAGCAGGGGAGAGCCGAGCGAGATGACTTTAGGGAGGCAGGGCCTGATGGTGTTTGATGAGTCCCCAGTGCCCAGCGCGGGGTAGACACGGAGTGGTGAGCAGGACTGTGGTGTTTGATTTGGTCAGCTGAGAGGTCAGGTAGGGGTACTCAGGGCCTGGCGGTTGGTGTGGATGCCAGGTGACATGTTGACCAGTGGCCCTCCAGTTTCTGGAAGGACTTGGTGGTGACTTTCCAAGAATCACTGTTTCTCCCCTGCAGCTTCTGCTGGGGTCAGGAGGGGAACCTTTGGACCAGTCAAGTCCAATTCGTGGCTGGCCAGAGCAGCTGAAGACGGGAACAGGACATACGTGGATCGAACGCCTCCCTTGTGCCAGGCCTGTGCCAAGGACTTCATGCACCCGCACGTGTTCCTCCCAACCATCCCAGGAGGGAACGGGTGGCAGCCCCATTTTACAGAGGAGGAAACTGAGGCTCAGGGAGGGAGAAGGATTTGCCCAAGGCCAAAGGACTGGGGAAACATTCAATCTGGGCTTTTTTTTTTAAAGCCCATCTTCCAAGAAACTCCCCTGGGCCCTACCTGGGCTGCCTCAGTTTCCAGGAAGTTGGAGGGTGAGCCTGTAGCAGCCCTTCCTGCCTGGGGACAGAAGGGGCTTTGTGGGGAAGAGGGTGCCTGGCCTGACCAAGCTGCCTGGGAAAGGTGGAGAGTTGGGCAGGGCAAAGGCCCATGACACTGGTGTGCCCGCCTGCCTCCTAGCTCTGACCCTGGGCAGGGCCTGTGTCTCTGCAGATAGGACAGAAAAGGCACTGCCCCTTGGCGGAGTAAACCCCTGGACCCTGGAAGCTGCCACCGACTTCCCTACCTGATCCCCAAAGCCAGGAAGTTACCCTCCTGGCTCAGGGGCCTGCCTTCACCTCTGTCTCCCTTCCGAGCCTGTTTCCTTTGTTACAACGGCGCAATGATACTCCCTTGATGGGTGAGTGCAAGAGGGAAGTAAGGCTGCATTTGCAGAGAGCTCAGGCCCCTGAGAGCCAGCTCCAGGCGCAGTTGCTGGGCTGTAATGATGACTCTGGGTGTGCTGTGGTTTTCGTTGTCACAGCCTTACCTCTTCTCTGCAGGCTGTCTCATTGGTACTGAAGGGCCTTAAAGGCCAGGTTGACCATGAGGAGGAGGAAGGGTCTGGGCTCTGATCCCTGTCCTGTCAGTAATGCTGGGCCATGTGCTTCTCTGTGCTTTGGCTTTGTGGCCTGCAGCTGTTTGGGCTGGAGGATTTTAAAACTGGGTGCCACCAGAGGCAAAGACTGGTCTGACATCAGGGGCAGGGGCTGGTGGGGAGCAAGTTCAGAAAATTGGTAGTAGCCAAGCGTGGTGGCAGGCGCCTGTAATCCCAGCTACTTGGGATGCTGAGGCAGGACACTCACCTGAACCTGGGAAGCAGAGGTTGCAGTGAACTGAGATCATGCTACTGCACTCCAGCCGGGGCAACAGAGCCCTGTCTCAAAAAAAGAAAAGAAAAGAAAAGAAAAGGGCTCTTTCCCTCCAACTACCTTCTCTCCCCATGGTGCTTTGCTCAACAGATTGGCCTGGAACATCTCTAAAAGGTGTCACTGTGGAGAGTGTCCTTGGGGGAAACAGGGACACTCTCCTCTGCACAGCCCCCTCCCTCCGTTCCAGATGTGCCTCTGGCTGGTACCAAGAATGGCCTCTGATTACAGCATCCACACATGCCCACATCAGACACGCAACACACATTAGACACACAGCCTGTGTCAGACACACAACACACATTAGAGACACACAGCCTGTGTCAGACACACAACACACATTAGAGACACACAGCCTGTGTCAGACACACAACACACATTAGAGACACACAGCCTGTGCCAGACACACAACACACACGGCACACATGCTACATGACACACATCAGACACAACACACACTTATACATACAACATACATCAAACACACAACACACATGACATACATTGACACACACACAACACACATAGGCACAGCACACATCAAGCACACACACAGCATGCATCAAACACACAGCATGTATCATACAGACACAATACACACACAGCACATTTCAAACACATATGACACACATATACACCCCGTCTCATATGAAACATGTCAAACACATGCACCACATGCACACCACACAAATTATACTACAAATACACACAATACACATAGAAAAACAACACACAACCACATAACACAACAAATACACCATACATGTTATACAAATAGAGGACATACGCATACATCACACACAGATTTACACACATGTCACACCACACACAACAAACACACACACACACATACCAGCAGAGCGCTAGTGCATTTAGTATTTTTTGATTGAGAAAATGCATTTCAACAAAAGCTCTAAGAGTTCAGAGTCTTAAAATAATTTGGTCTTTCATTCCTCCCAACAGAATCTTCAGACAATTGAAAACCAGCCATTCAAAGATGCATCAAACACGTTCTGTATTCCAGGCCCAGATGTGCCCAGGTCTTGGGGATCCAGGCACCTCAGTGGGAATGCGGCACATCCCCGGGCTCTGGAGTGCAAGTGCGGCAACCCCTGGTTCAGGCCACCATTCAGCTACCTGCTTCCAGTGGAAGATTGGGCTGGAGCCACTGGTGGCTCCAAGTCCCTCTTGCTCCTCCACTGTTCTTACTCAGGCATATGGCTCTCCTCTCCACATCACATGCCCGAGGTTGTGTGCATGTGCACATTTGTGTTTGTATGTGTGTCGGGGAGGGAGGCGGGCATCGTGCCGGCAGTCTCTCACTCTGCCCTAACTATGAGCTCACAAACCGCCGTCCTGAAGGATCCCCCTGCAGAGAAACTTCCCGGCCAGCTCCACCCAGAAGAGAGAGCAGATGGAAACTTGGAGCAAGCCCTCATCCTGGGTCAGGGAAGAAAAGATTCTTTCTTTCCCCTTCTCTCTAAAAATATGCTCAGGGCTTTTTTGAGCCTTGATGCAATAGAAACCAGCTGTGGCCCAGAACGCCCCCGCAGCCTCTGCCCAGGGAAAAGGAAAACAGAAACAGCCGTTGGAGGCGGGATCAACGCCTGTGTTTGGGCGCCAGGCCCAGCCTCTAGCCACCTCTGACCTGGAATTGTGTCCCAAATGGGCACCAAACAGTCCCTGTTTATTTGTCCTGTTGTGGGTCCAGGAGTCACTTAGCCCTTCCTCTTTCAATTCTTGGCATAGAGGATGAGAAGAGGACAAGAAGTGGGCGTTTCTTAGACTCCGTGCCCAAGTACTTCCCCATCTCATGGAGACAGATGGGCACATGAGGTATCCAGATACAGCCTGAGCCTGCCTCCTCTGGGAGCCTGCGGGAGGGAGAGGCCGTGCCTAACCTGGGGAGCAGGAAGGCTTCCTGGAGGAGGTAACATTCAGATGGTCTTAAAGGAAGGAGAAGGGAAGTTCTAGGATGGGGAAACAGAATCAGAAAGACCAGGAGATGGGGATAGTCATTACTGTGTGGCGACCAGGATGGAAGGCAAAGGTGGGGGACCCGGGGGAGTCGCTGGAGAGGAAGGTTGGGACCCTGGATGCTGGGTGAGATGTTCACTGGGTGATGGAGAGCTGTGGAAGGTTCTTGAGCAAAGGAGTGACTTCTCTAGATCTTGGAGGATATTTGGAGGGGAGGCTGGTTACCTCATGGGAGCTGAGAGCTTTGTCGAGGAGTTCCTTAGAGAAGGAGCCACAGCTTCTAACTGAGTTTCCCGGTACTCTGACACAAGCCTGTGGAGAGGCGCTAGCGTGGACAGGTGCTATGGATTTGGAGTCAGGGGATCTGGCTTTCTACTTCTGACTCTGCTGTGTGAACTTGTGTGCCCTTGAATAGACTGTCCTTCTTAGGCCTCTGGTTTCCCACCTGCAAGAAGGGATCGTGAGGGCTTTCCGTTTTCCTGGAATGTCATTGCTGGAGGATTCGTTGGTGTCCAGCCTGAGCTCTGCTGGCCAGAGGAGGAAGGTGGACTCCAGACTGGGGAAGGAGTCCCCACACTCACCCAGCGCTATCAGCAGCCAGCAGTGTGGGGACCCGGGCACCCAGGCTCCAGGCTCTGGAGGAGGATTTCCTGCTGTGGGTTTGTGGTTCTTGGAGCCCCAGGTGCTGGCCTCTGGCTACAGCTCTGTCCACAGAGAGCTGCCTCTCTCATCTGCAGCTCAGGCCCCTGCAAGCGGCCTGTGCTGGAACCGGGTGGAGGCGCCTGCTCTTCGCTCCCCCTTCCTGGAAGGAACTCCAAGTGGTGCCAAACGGGACCCTCATGTCATCTTGTCTCATTCCCTCCAGCAGCAGCTCTGTGAGGCTGGGTTTGTCACCCTCTTTTGTAGAAGACAAAACTGAGGCTGGAGAGGTGAATCGACTTCTCCCAAGACCTGCAGCTGGTACTGAGCAGAGCTGGGATGTGAGCCCTGTCTGTCTGCCCCTGGCTGCTCTGCCACGGGGCCCTCTCCTTCCTGCCGCACTCCCGCTCCCTCCAGCCAGACCTGAGCTCTGCCAGGGCGTCTTGTTCACTATCAGATCTCAGGGCCCCCGGCCAGGCATGTAGTGGGAGCCTAGGAAATATTTTTTGGAGTGGATGCCTGGCCTACCACTGCGGGGCGGAAAATCCAGGCTGGGCCGGTGGCTCCACCTCCTTGACCAGAATCCTTTGCTGGCCGGAAGAGTTCACCATATTGGTGAACCTCAATACCATGGCCTTATACCATCTTCCAGTTCCCACGTGGCAACCAAGGGAGGTAATGTGGTCTCCCTCCCTGATGGCGCGTCCCCTGTCCCCCAACCACGGCCAGCCCAGCAAGGTGAAGGGCCCCGGGGCAGACACTTGCAGGTAAACGGAGGTGGCAGTCCGTGGTTGCCTCAGACCAGGGGAGCCCAGAGGAGAGGCTGAGAGAGGGCCTGTCACAGCTGCCAAGGGTGGTTGGGGACCCTGAAAAATTAGAAGGAGCCCCGCAAGCACAGACAGCTAAAAGTCCTCAAGTGGTAAGCGCATGTTCCTTGCAGACTGCTGCTTCCTGGATCAACTCTTCCATGGCCCTGAGTGTCACCCAGTGTTTTCTGAAGCCTCTGAGTGGTGCCCGCTGCCTGGCAGCAGCCCCTGGAGGCAGGTACTTCCTGGCATCATGGCAGATCTGCCATCCTCTTGCCCTGGGCTCCTCACAGTCTTGCAACTAGGTTCCCCAGCCAGCACGGAATTCCCCTCTTTCTCTGCCTCTGAGTGCACCCCTCCTTCCTGCCCTGCTTGCTTTCCTGTCGTACCTCGCCTTTGGTCCTGACACCCCCTCTACCTTCCTCTGTAGTATCTCTGAGACCCACAGCAACCTGGAGGCCCAGAGAAATAATACTAATAACAATAACACCACCACCAACGATGTTTTCACTATATTGTATAAGCGCTGTCAGTGCCAGCAGCTGTGCTAAATGCTTTGCACTCACCATCCCCTTTCATCCTCACAATAAGCTTAAGAAGTAGCTAATTACGCAGATTCCTGACAAAAAACACATGGCCCAGTTGAAGGATGCAATTCTGTAGGTGTCATTGTGTGTTGACATTAGCTGGGGTGTATCAGATACGCCTTCTGCCTGTATCCTACTCCCAGGGGTTGTGTTTTAATGGCTCTGGGGAGTGGCCTGGGATTGGGAATTTTTAAAAGATCCCAGAACATTCTAACATGCACACAGGTTTGGGAACCACCAGTTTTCCTGAAGAGAGTTTAATGAAAGGACTTTTAAAAAGTTTTATTGCGGTATAATCAACACACAATCAACTGCATATTTTTAAAACATACAATTTGATAAGTTTTTAAAAACCATTTTAACCATTTTAAATGTATCATTCCATGGTATATTTTTAAGTATATTCATATATAAGTAGTTCATATTGTGCGAGGATCTCCAGACCTTTTTCATCCTGTAAAACCAAGACTGCACCCATTAAACAACTCCCCATTTCCCCCTGCCCCAGCCCCTGGCAACCTCCATTCTACTTTCTGCCTCTATGACTTTGATGACTCTAGGTACCTCGTAGAAGAGGAATCACACAGGCTGGGCACAGTGACCACACCTGTAATCCCAGCACTTCGGGAGGCTGAGGTAGGTGGATCACCTGAGGTCAGGAGTTCGAGACCAGCCTGGTCAACATGGCGAAACCCCATCTCTACTAAAAAGACAAAAAAAAAAGGCCGGGCGCGGTGGCTCAAGCCTGTAATCCCAGCACTTTGGGAGGCCGAGGCGGGTGGATCACGAGGTCAGGAGATTGAGACTATCCTGGCTAACATGGTGAAACCCCGTCTCTACAAAAAATACAAAAAAAAAAAAAAAAGCTAGCCGGGCGTGGTGGCGGGCGCCTGTAGTCTCAGCTACTTGGGAGGCTGAGGCGGGAGAATGGTGTGAACCTGGGAGGCGGAGCTTGCAGTGAGCCGAGATCACGCCACTGCACTCCAGCCTGGGAGACACAGCGAGACTCCGTCTCAAAAAAAAAAAAAAAAATTTAGCTGGGCATAGTGGCGCACGTCTATAATCCCTGCTACTCAGGTGGCTGAGGCATAGAATCGCTTGAACCTAGGAGATGGAGGTTGCAGTGAGCTGAGATCATGCCACTGCACTCCAGCCTGTGTGACAGAGCTAGACTCCATCTCAAAAAACAAACAAACGAAAAAGGAAGTGGAATTACATAGAACGTCTTTTTGTGACTGACTGATTTCACTAGCATAAGGTCCTCAAGGTTCATCCTTGTCACGTATGGCAGGATTTCCTCCCTTTTTAAGGCTCAACAATATTCCGTTGTATGTATGTACCACCTCTTCTTTATCCATTCATCTGTCCATGAGCATTGAGGTGACTTCCACCTCTTGCTATTGTGAATAATGCTGCTATGAACATGGGGTTCCAGGCATCTCTTTGAGACCTTGCTTTCAATTGTTTTGAATATGTATGCCCAGAATTGGGACTGCTGGATCATATGGTAATTCTAGTGTTAATTTTTTGAGGAACCACCCTACTGTTTTCCACATCAGCCACACCATTCTACAATCCCACCCACAACGCACAAGGGCTCCAATTTCCCCACATCCTCGCCAACACTTGTTATTTTGTTTCTTGGATAGTAGCCATCCTTATGGGTGTGAAGTACTAGCTCATTATGAATTTGATTTGCATTTCTCTAATGATGAATGGTGCTGAGCATCTTTTCATGTGCTTGTCGGCTGTTTATAAATCATCTTTGGAGAAATAATGAAAAGACCTGGTAGGGGACGACGATGCACCAGAGACTAGTGAAAGCAGCATGTTGTAACCACCTCTAGCCCTGTGGGCCAGAGGAGGGCATTGGGTACCGGAATGACAGAGCAGGAGCTATGGAAGGGGCTGCCTGACAGGATGGGGGACCCTGGGACAGGGATGCAGCCACAGCCAAACTATGGCCCAGCAGAGGGAGTGGGAAAAGTCCTCGACCTCTCTCTCTTCCTGCTGCCTTCCAATATCCTACCTGGGTGAGGTCAGCCTCCTGGGGATCAGAGCAGGACAGGGAGGGGTGAGAATGAATCTGGTGGTGGTGGGGGCAGGGGGAACTAGAATCACCCAAAAAAGAGGGATATGTTGCTGACTCCATTTTACAGTTGAGGAAACTGAGAGTCATGTTTGGCACAGTTTAGAGGGAATTGGACCGAGATTTGGACTTTGGTCTAGGTGATGCCAGCCTGGTTATTCTAACCTGTAAGCTATTGGCAGTGGGCAGCGCCCAATGAGGGAGGGTGCGGGGGCAGTGACCTTCATGCCAGATGCCACCCCTCCCTTGAGCTTGATCGAGGCTGATCTGCCTTTTCTTTCCTCTTCCCTTTTTTTTTTTTTTTTTTTTTTTTGAGACGGAGTTTCGCTCCTGTTGCCCAGGCTGGAGTGCAATGGTGTGATCTCGGCTCACCACAACCTCCACCTCCCAGGTTCAAGCGATTCTCCTGCCTCAGCCTCCCGAGTAGCTGAGACTACAGGTATGCGCCACCACACCAGACTAATTTTGCTTTTTTAGTAGAGACAGGGTTTCTCCATGTTGGTCAGGCTGGTCTGGAACTCCCGACTTCTGGTGATCCGCCCACCTCGGCCTCCCAAAGTGCTGGGATTACAGGTGTGAGCCACCGTGCTCGGCCTTCCTCTTCCGTTTAGAAAGCAACAGGTCTGAAAGGCAATTCTGGTCTTGATGAAGGTACAGGCAGGAGAGGGAATTGTCACCCTGCTGAAGACACACAGCTCTTCCATGCTCTGTCTTATGTGTAACTTGTTCTTATCTGCTCCTGGAGCCACCACCTGCTACAGTGTAGAGAGATCCCACAGATTCTCTGGATCAAACTACTCACTGTCCAGAAGGAGAAACTGAGGTCCTGTGTCTGTGGCTAGAACCCAGGCCTCTGGGGAGCAACCCAGGACTCCATCCAGTGTGACCTGAGCCTGCTCTGCTTATCAGAGCCGGTCTTTACCACCCTTCATATCCTGGGAGCCCACAGGTAGAAAGATGGGCATTGCAGGTCACTGTGGTTCCCCCACTGAAGCAAGTTCCCTGGCTCGCAATTAGCCAGTGCTCTGCTGGTTCACGATGTGCTCCAAATGCCAGACCAAGAAAGGAATTGGGTCGGTGGGCAGGACACAGGACCAGCGCTCCGGGAGGAGAGCTGCTCTCAAGCAGTTTGGCGGCATCAGCAGCCTCTGTGTGGTCAGTCAAGCAGGGCAGCCAATTTCCTCTCCTTTCAGTCCTAACTCTGGACTCCTGTACCCGGAGGGGCTCCCTTTGTGTTCCTGCAGCCCAGAAGCCCTCCGAGGCTTGACATGAAAGAGTTGCGGGATCTTGGACTGTTCCAGTGGAAGGGCTCCTGGCAAAACCCAGATGCATTCTCTTTTTGTATGGATGGAAGGACCGAAGTCCAGAGAAGTGGAGTAACTTGCCCAGGGTTGTGCTGAGATTTGTGAAGGTGCCGGATGCTGGTGCGCTGGTGGCTGGCATACTCTGAGACCTTCCTTCCCGCCGTTTCCCTGGAGCTCTGCTTGGCAACCACCCGCCTGCATTTTTGCAAAGTGATGTCATCTGCGGATAATAGTTTTTCCGTTCCTGGTGGAGCAGGAGTTCCAGATACAGCGCTTTGGGGGAGGGGTACTACAGAGCTGATTGTGCACCCCTCAGGCAAGTGGGGCTGCGTAGACCCTTCCCCTCTGACAGCCACATCTCAGTTGTAAGGCAAGGCACACTCCCAAGCCTGGAATGCCCAAAATGGCAGGGGCGCCAGAGACAAGCCTCCCCTGCCTCCTCCTTGTGCAGTTGGGAATCTGAGGCCCAGAGAGGGCAGAGCCTTGCCCAGGCTCACACAGCATTTACAGGCAAAACCTGGACTCACATCCCGACTCCAAACATCTGCGGCCACTTGCCCATGTTTGGGGGTTTTTCACCCTCAACACTGTTGACATTTTGGGCCAAGGAGTTTTGTTGTGGGGGCTGTCCTTTTCATGGCGGGATATTTGGCAGCATCCCTGGCCTCGACCTCCTAGAGGCCAGTAGCACCGCTCTCCAGTTCTCAGATCCAGACATTGCCAAATGTCTTTCACCTAAGTTGAGGTGGGAGAAAGTAACCCTCTAGCTCCTAAGACTTTTATCCACTGCCATAGATAGGCAGGAGAGGGTTCTTGAGTCCAAGCCCAAAGGGTGCTTTGTCTGAGGCTGGGACTTAATGTCAGGTACCTTCAAGATGGGAGGCAGGCCTGGAGGGGGCTGTGAGGGGCTGGAGATGGTCCAGGCCCTCCTTCTGGTTAGGAACACTGCTTCCTCTGATCACTTTTCTTGGAGCAAAACTGCCGATTTATTTTCCTGGGGAAATAAAAATAAATACTAGCTGTTGTAATCTCATCCCTGATCCCATCTGGAAAAAGCAGGCTCATGAATCTTGGCCGCCTGAGCTCTGAGGACTGTGTCTGGCGGAACCTGGAGTTACAATGGGCCTTCGAACATCGGAACAATCACGGCTGACATTTCCTTTCCCGTTACATGGCTCCTTGGAATGTGAGCCCCAGGGGGCAGCCCATGGGCAGGCGGAATTTTGTGGAAAGAAGCCCCAGGCGCGGGCCAGAGACCAGCTCAGCCTCTGACTTGCTGTGTGACTTTGAGCCACTTTTCTGTTCCTCCTTGGGCTTGATTTCTCCATCTGCAGAATGAGGGGAGCCACGTTCATCAACAAGGGGTCCATGGACCACCTCGTATCAGAATCATTTAGGGAATGTGTTTATGCCTATTCCTGATATTTCTGATTCCTCTTCCAGACCTCCTAAAGTTTTTAGGCACCTCTAAATGATTTTGATGTATGTAAGTTTTGGGACCCACGACACCAAGGACTTTGAAATTTCCACCCAGTCTCAAGTTTGAACACGTCACAGTTCTTTAGCCTCCTTCCCCCTCATAACGAAGTGTAGAGTTATGAAGCTAGAGGGTAAAATTATGGGGTGGGCTGGAACTGGGCATTGCTCCTAACAATTATCTGCTTTCAAGCTCTTGGCAGGGTCTCTGGGGTCCTTGATCCAACTGAAATCACTGTTAAAGCACTTTATTCCTCTAGTAATGAAACTCGAGCTGCTAGTTACAGAGTTTGGTTTCAAAATTGTGCCATTTATTATTTTTGTTGGATTGGCTTATAAACCCTCGAATAGTCATACATCATTTATAGTGCATTATTCCACAAGAATGCATTTTCCAGATGAGATTTATTTTTTCTGTTAAAAACTTAAAACTGTTCTTTTTTTTTTTAAATGGAAGTCTTTCCCCATGTGTTACCTATTTATACCACCTTAAGTGAAGGTCACGAAACGTAATTTTACTGATTCTCAATGCTCCAGGGTTGTCTTTGTGAGTTTTAACTACCGTATGCATTGATGTAAATTTTACGGACTCCTAAACTCACTGTGCCTGAACTGTGAATGTCCCCCAAGCTGCTTAACCCTTGTATCTGCTTTTAAAAGTTCTGCTTTGCTTCTATATTTTTAAAGATTTCTTCCTTATGAGATATCAGCAGTTACTTCTCACCATGTTATCATGACTCCTTCGAATGAAAAACCAATAATCCATGTGTATCAGGATGGTATGTAGTGTAAGAGTTCATAATCGATGAATGAGAGGATTCTCTGATGGGTCAGGGACATGGATTTTTGACGTTTATTTTGGCAGCTGAGAATAAGGCGTAGTTTTTTTTCTTTCTAAGTTTCACCCCAATACCAGATGCTTTCTGAGAGCTTTCTAGATCAATGCGAAATGAGTGTAGATAGATTTTTCCACGTAACTAATTTACATTCCGGGTGAACTCATTTTGCTTCTGACTTAGAGGTGCCTTCATTTCCTTCTCATCTGCACCCTCTTCTTGGAGAAGCTGCTCCACCCCTGGCCCATGACACAGGACACATGACCCAGCCCACTGGGCCCCCTGATGCCACCTGGGCCAATCAGATTTTCCGGTCAGGAAATTCGCAATTGGGATTCAGAGCTGGAAAGAGTCGCCTGCTCTGATGGGAGCTGCACTTGCGGACTGTGACTCAGAGGCTGAGGACCCAGGGAGCCCCACCCCCACGTTCCCTGGGCAAGCCCAGAGTGAATGTGGAAGTTGAGCTGTGGCGGCTTCCTGAGCAGTCTGTGTGTGTGTGTGTGTGTGTGTGTGCGCGTGCGCGCGCGTGTGCACACATGCTGGAAGATGGGGCAGGACACAGGGTCCCAAGCCCCTGAGGGAGGGGCTTGTCCTAATTGAGTCACAGAAATCAGGACAGGGAGAGCATGAGTCTTGTTTCCCTCTCTGCATTTGGGAGATTCAGGCCCCAGGGAGAGGAGAGACTGACCCATGGTCATCCAGAGGGCACGTGGTTAAGCTGGTCCTGAGCTCTGCCATGCACGTTCTGTTTTCCTACCCTGGCAGCTGGCTCAGAGCATGGACAGGCCTTGTCTCTCTTCCCTTTCTTTCTGCCAAATTCTTTTCTGTTGGGAATCTGAAGACTGGATAGAGGCAGTCATGGCATGATTTGCTCCAAATATCTCCCCAACAGGTGGTCACAGTGTCTACAATTCCATCACCAGGTCTTCCATTTCCAGGAATAACCCTGGGAAGGTGTATGCCATGTGTCTTGTTCACAGTAGGGATTAATTAATAGTTCAAGGAGCCCAAAGTAAGGAGACCCATGTTTGATGAATCTCCAGGCAATTTATACCCACCACACAGCCTTATGAAGATAGCCCAGTCACACCCATTTTACAGAGGGGAAAACTGAAGTTCGGAGAAGTGAGTTGACTTGCCCAAGGTCACATAACACATCAGGATCGGGGCTCATATCTGCATCCAGAGTCCAGGCTCTTTGCCCTAAAGCAAGCTTATCTGATCTGGGAGCTGGGGATAGGCTGAGGAGGCGAGCGGGTGACAAGATGAACTTGTCATGGAGTCATTCAGTGGGAAAAGTTGTGATTTGGGAATTAGGGCCAAATGGTTCCTTAACCTTGGACATCATGGTGGGCCTCAATTTCCTCACCTCTGCAGGAGGGAAGCACCGACTAAATACACTCTGCAATCCCAGAAAACTCAATGGGCTGAGGCAGGAGGACCTACTGGCCATTGAAGACTGTCCACTGCTGGTCCAGATTCCAAGTGACCAGGCAGAAAGAGCATGGACTTTGGAGTTTGATTCCCTGGCTTTAAATCGCCCTGCTCCACTTGCTACCGCAGTGTGGACTCAGGTAGGTTAATTAACTGCTCCAGCTTCAGTTTTCTCATCTATAAAATGGGGATAATAATAGTATCTACCTCGTAGTGATGATTAAATAAGTTAATGCCTGTAATGCCAGGACAGTGCTGGGTACCTAGGAAATGTTTAATGTATATTCATTATTATTGTCATTTCTGACACCCTGTGGTGTGCCCCTTGGGGATGAGAGGGTTTAACTGAACATCTGCCTCTTCCTGGATGCAGTGGCAGCCCTGGGATCTGGCAGCAGGCCCCTGTGGGCTTGTTTCCTGGGCAGAGTGAGTCCATCATCACTGAGACATGACACATGGCCTGGCCACCCCCTCTGGGGCCGCAGGCAGCTGATCCTGGGCTAAAAATACCAGTTTCATGAATGGAGCCAGGGAGTCCATTCTGGGATCCACAATTAGTGTTTGTGTTAAAACCCACTCTCTGACTCTGCACCCCTGGGCGAGCCTTAGCACCACCCCTTCTGTGCTGCTGGTTCCTGTGAGACTGACCTTTTCGGCTCCCAACACTCACTCAGGATTGGGGGTGGGGAGCGGAAAGGAAGGGGAGTATGTCTGATAGGTCCTTTAACAAGTAGGGAGGCAGCCGGTCACCCAATTCCCCTACTACTGAGTCAGGTAGGAATAATTAAAATCCCCCTTTATAGTGGAGGAAATGGATGTTTCCAGAGATTGCAACCTGGGGATATATAGTTAAGTCTGGGTTCTGGGCCAGTGCTCCCTCCAAAGTCTCTTCTCCCTCTACCTGGTGCCACCCAACATCCCTTTGGGGAGGGGTCCTGACTTGGAGGCTGGGAGCTGACCTCAGGCATCTTCCATCTCTCCTGAGACTTGAGGTACAGTCATCGCATGAAGGATCAGAGCTGGAAAGTGGGGGCCTGGCTCAGGGAGCAGCAGAACCAGAGCGGAAGCTGAGCTGGAGATGCCCTGATGGGGCTGAGGTGGAGGCTCAGGCCTGGGATGGGCAGTTGGACCAGCAGGTCCAAAACAGCAGAAGCCGAGGCCGGCAGCAGTCTCGGAGATGCCCTCTGACCTGCCATGGACTGGAGCCTCTAAGATGCTTTCTCCTGAGGCTGGAGCTGATGAATGGCATCCTTGGGATGTAACCTGGGTGCGGCCAGCAGGTGGGGATGCCATGCAGGACAGGAGCTCAGGCCCCTCAGAGGGGGTCACACCTGGCCGGGCCACTGCCCTGTGAACATCCTTTCCAGGGACCCTTTCTCTTACTTGTTTGTGGCCCCCACTAGGCAGTAAGCTCTCGAGGACAGAGCCATTGGGAATGAATGACAAGGTGAATCTTGGGGCCCAGGACCCCAGACAGCAGCTGTTCTTACTGAGAGAAGGGTTAGGGCCCCTGGAGGCATAGAAAAGGATTAAGGCCCAACTTACTCCACGTGGGGACCACCCTGGTCACAGAAAACACTGCCCTCAGGGACAGCTGTGCCCAAAGGGAGGGCCTCAGCCTCTGGCTGGAGAAAAAGCAGGTGGTAAAGATGGTGGCCCTGTGCTTTCAAGCTTCTCAAGCCAGATCCCGACTAGGCTCACTGTGTGTATCTGGGACTTTTAGAATTTGGGAAGTTGAGACCTGTGAAAGTTTGAGAACCTGGGAAACTTCAGAGCTTTCAGCATCTTTCGAAATCTTGGACATTTTAGGATCTGGAGAATCTTTAAACCTGGGGAACTTTAGGAATCTTTTGATGTTGTGGAATTTGAGGGATTTCATTTTGGGGCCCTGTTGGTCTTAGAGTGGATGGTGTCCTCTTGGTGTAGAGGAGGACATTCGTCAGCAGACCTGACCCCTCTCCTCCCACCAGCCCTCAGAGCCCAATATTTCGAATATCTCAACTTGATGAAGTTTGAAACTTCAGATTTTAGAAATGAAATTGTATTGGTTATCTTAAATGTTTGATGTTGTGTTTCTCAAACATCTGTTGGCCTACTGGATTTCTAAGTTTCTGGCTCTTTCTTTTGTAAATGATTTTTCCTCTCATGTCACAGATTCAACAAATATTCATGCTGGGATGGGATGCAGAAGTCACCTACTTTCAGAGATGGGGAAACTCAGACCCAGAGAGGGCACAGCCTTTTCTCAGGGGCCTCCAGTGACTCAGAGTCTAATCTGTGCTTTTTGGCTCCTGGATCTCTGAGCTGCACCCACAGGACCCCTATGCCCACCCTAGCACCCCTGTTCTCCATGGCGGCCCCACCCTAAGGGTTTCCTATGCCATTCTTCAGAACTTTCTCCTTCTCCTAGATCCCTTTTCTGCAAAATGAGGCTGGGAAGTTCTGAGCCAAGCCCAGGCCCACGTGCCTGGAACCAGAGACAGCGTAAGGAGCAGACACTGCCAGGTCACTTGCAGCAGACTCCAGGAGGAAACGAGGAAAACAGAACCTCCGCCGTAGCCCAGCCAGGGCTCTCAGAGCCTGGGAAGCTCTTAGGAGAAGTGGAGAGTTGCTCAGAGCCAAGCTAATTTGTCATCTCCAGCCCTTCTCTGGTGATCAGCTTGTCTCTTCCTCTACCTGCCCTGCTACCTCCTGTGTCTTCTCCTCCCCTCTGTGTCGCATGCCTTCTGCTTCCTGCGGCCTCTGCCTCCTTGTGATTTCTCTTGCTGTCCAGTTCCGGTGAGCTCATGGCTTCTGTAGCCCAGTTTCTCTTTCCTTCCCTCTGTGAATCTTTCCTGTTTCGACTCTTGCTCCCAACTTCTTAACTTATACTCAGTGCCCCAGAGGGAGGACTTGATTGGTTTGGAAGTCCCCCACCAGGACAGGCAGTGGATTAAGTGAGTTCTTATATGAGGTCTCTGATTCCCTAACTCCAGCTAGGTGTTCAATTATTCAGTTCAGTTCTGACACTAACTCCGGGAGTCAGTGCAGACCCCAAAGTTTAGGGCTGAGCCCCACATGGCTGTCACCCTTCAGCCACCAGTCACAATCCAGGGACCGTCTGTACATCTGACCATCTGGCTCTGAATTTCAGGGTTCCCATAACCTCCTCTTCTAGTTAGATAATTCACTAGAACGACTCACAAAACTCAGGAAAGTGCTTTACTTACTATTACCAGTGGATTATAAAGGATACTACTCAAGAACAGACTCATGGAAGAGATGCAGAGAACAAAACATGGGGTGGTTTGCACAAAGCTTCCACGCCCTCCCAGTGAGTCCCCGTGTTCACCAGCCCTGAAGCTCCCAAACCCTGTTGTTTAGGGGTTTTTCTTGCAGTTTCATTATGATTGATTAAATCATTGGCCATTGACGATTGAATTCAATCTCCAGCCCATCTTGCCCCCATGGAGGCTGGGGGTGTGGGGGTAACCAGCCCTCATCATGAAGCTCTCTAGGGCTCCTCCATAAGTCATCTCATTAGCATATGAAAGGCAATATGTTCAAGGGTTTTAGGAGCTCTGTGCCAGGAATTAGAGACCAAGACCAAATATTCATATTTTATACCACACCAGGTTACTTCTCAGCCCACTGGCCAACTTCAAGATTGGCTGCTCTTAGGTCAAAATACCCACTTGGCCAGGGGTAAAGATCACTCAGTATCATGTGTGGTGTAAGCTGTTGAGATTGGGCATGGACGCTGGCAGGTGACTGACAGGCTGGACAACTGACAGATGCTCACCTTGGCCAGTGTAGGCACAGATAGGGCAGGACCCCATTCCTTTAAGAGTTCCGTCTTCGGAAATCCCCTCTCCCTGCCTTCTTCCTTCTCTTCATCCCTTCTTTGCTATTTTTAAAGGGCATATTGGAAATAAAACAATTGTCAACATATTCAGCCCTCCCGCAGCGGGCTGCCAATCGGCACAGTCCATCCTATGTCCACTTCCATCCCCTCCACCTTAGCCCTCACCTCCCTCTTTGCTCTTGTCCCCCTGGGCACTCAGGTCTCTGTTAGTTTCTCAATGGCTTTGCACATGCTGTTCCCTCTATTTGGAATGCTCTTCCCCATTTCCCACCCCTGGCTGGTTTCTCCTGGCCACCCACTCTGAATGATGCTCTCCTCTTACATATGTGTCCTGTGTGTTTCCTTACTGATACTCGTCAGCCTGCTGATAGACTTATTTGCACAACCATTTAATAAATCTCTAGACCGTCTGCTCTAGGTGGGCAGAGATTGGATCTGTTTTGTCTAGAACAGGCCTGGCTTGGTAGATAGCTATTGAATAAATGAGTGAATGGATGAATGTCATGGAATCAGAGATGACTATGATTCATAAAGGCTTATATGTATAAGTGAATTTGAAAAAATAGAAACAACTTGAATATTCAATAACAGCCAATTTAAAAATATATTATAGTAACCTACAATGGAATTTGCATGGCCATTAAAATCATAATTTAAAAGCATATCCATGACCAACAGCATTAGTCATTAGGGAAATGCAAATAAAAACCATGAAGAATTGCCACTTTACACTCACTAGAATGGCTGTAACTTTTTAAAAAGGTAAAATAACTGTTGTTGGTGAGGATGTGGAGAAATTGGAAGTGGATATGGAGTCTGGCAGTTCCTCAAAAAACTAAACATAGATTTACCATAGGGGCCAGGCACGGCAACTCATGCCTGTAATCCCAGCATTTTGGGAGATATGAGGCAGGTGGATCACCTGAGGTTAGGAATTTGAGACCAACCTGACCAAGATGGTGAAACCCTGTTTCTACTAAAAATACAAAAATTAGCCAGGTGTGGTGGCACGTGCCTGTAATCCCAGCTACTCAGGAGGCTGAGGCAGGAGAATTACTTGAACCTGGGAGGCAGAGGTTGCAGTGAGCCAAGATCATGCCACTGCACTCCAGCCTGGGCAACAGAGCCAGACTCCGTCTCAAAAAAAGAAAAAAATAGCCAGGCGCGGTGGCTCACACCTGTAATCCCAGCACTTTGGGAGGCTGAGGCAGGTGGATCACCTGAGGTCGGGAGTTCAAGACCAGCCTGACCAACATGGAAAAACTCTGCCTCTGACAAGAATACAAAATTAGCCGAGTGTGGTGGTGCGCGCCTATAATCCCAGCTACTCGGGAGGCTGAGGCAGGGGAATCACTTGAACCTGAGAGGCAGAGGTTGCAGTGAGCCAAGATCATGCCATTGTACTCCAACCCGGGCAACAAGAATGAAACTCCGTCTCAAAAAAAAAAGAAGAAGAAGAAAAAAGAAAAAAATAGTTACCACAGGACTCAGAAATTTCACTCCGAGGTATAGATCCAAGAGAAGTGGAAATATATTCACACAAAAACCTGTAAACGAATGCTCATAGTACATGATTAATAATTTCCAAAGGGTAGAAAAAACTCAAATGTTGATCAACTGCTAACAGGATACACAAAATGTGATCTATCTAAACAGTGGAGTATTATTTAGCCATAAAAAAGAATGAAGTACTGATTTATGCTACAACTTGAAATGTTTAACCTTGAAAATAAGCCAGTTACAAATAGTCAAATGTTGTAGAATTTCAAATATATAACCTATCCAGGTGCCAAATCCAGACAAATAGAAAGCAGATCCTTTGCCAGGAGATGAGGGGAAGGGAAGTGGAGATTGGCTAGTATTAGGTCAGTGCAGAAGTAATTGTGGTTTTTGCCACTTAAAATTAAAATGTCAAAAACTGCAATTACTTTTGCACCAACCTGTTAATAGGTATAAGATTTCTTTTGGGGATGATAGAAATGTTCTAGAATTAGGTAGTGAATATACTAAAAGCCCCTGAATTGCACTATTTATTTATTTATTTATTGAGACAGAATCTCACTCTGTTGCCCAAACTGGAGTGCAGTGGCACCATCTTCACTCACTGCAACCTCTGCCTCCCGGGTTCAAGCGATTCTCCTGCCTCAGTCTCCTGAGTAGCTGGGATTACAGGCACCCACCATCACGCCTGGCTAATGGCTAATTTTTGTATTTTTAGTACCGGTGGGGTTTGGCCATGTTGGCCAGGCTGGTCTCGAACTCCTGACCTCAGGTGATCCACCTGCTGCGGCTTCCCAAAGTGCTGGGGTTACAGGCGTGAGCCACCGTGCCAGGCCTGAATTGTACACTTTAAAGCAGTGAGTTTTACGTTATGTGAATTGTATCTCAAAAAATAAATTAAACCCTGTCTCTACTAAAAATACAAAAAATTAGCCGGGCGTGGTGGTGGGCGCCTGTAGTCCCATCTACTTGGGAGGCTGAGGCAGGAGAATGGCGTGAACCCGGGAGGCGGAGCTTGCAGTGAGCCGAGATGGCGCCACTGCACTTCAGACCTGGGCGACAGAGCGAGACTCCGTCTCAAAAAAAAAAAAAAAAGTATGTGCAGTGAGAGAAGACAGTGTTCATTGTTTATTAAAGGGAAAGCACAAGGCACATAACTTAGCTGCAATATCTACCATACTCTATACATACAAGAATTCCTAAAAAGTAACAGTATTAGAATGTGTGGGGTGTGTGGGGTGTGTGTGTGTGCGCACACGTAGCAGATGCAGACGCAACCACACACTCAGACATCTAAGAAATGTCATGTGTGTCTCAATTTTAAAATGACCTGAGAAAGAACCCTTCTGTGCACTCGCTTTAATCCTCTTTTTTCCTGACTACTCAAACCTTGGCTGGGTTGAAACTGCAGCCTGGAGAATGGGCTTGGAGGTGAGAAGAAGCGACATTCTCTATTTCTGGACCAGAGAATTCTGCAGTGGTCGGGGCATTCTCATGATTGTCTTGGACTGTGTTTGCAATTTAAAGGAACGGCCATTACTAAGAGCAAAAAAGTCACCCCCACCCACCCTTCCTGGAGTTGTCCCACTCCTGGAGTTGTCTTTGAAGAGATAATGGGACACAAAAATAAGGTTGTGCTTTTGATTACATTACCAATCTGGCTTGCTCAACCTGCTGGTTCCAATAGCATTATTTCTGCACCTGTTGCTAGCTAGGCATTGGGCTACTATAACAAAGGTTTGCCTCATTTAGCCTCAAAAACATCCTAAAGGCAGGCCATACCCTCCAGATGATCCAGAAGGAGAAGCTGAAGCCCAGGGTGGTTACATTGCATGTCCTTGGTCACACAGCTAGTAGGTGGCAGATTTGCCTTTCTGAGCCTCTATCTCCTCATCTGTGAAATGGGGATGCTATGGTTACCTTGCAGGGTCACTATAAGGATTCACAGAGGTGAATGGGGGTGCTCTGCACACTGTAAGGGATGCGTCAAGGATCACATCTTCCTCCTTAAGCCTGCCTCCCCGTCTCCTGGCACCGTGTCTCTGGATGAGACTGGAGCTGTGTTTGGCCTGGTAGGTCCTCATATCTGGAAGGCATAGGCTTGCTGGCACACTTGGCTTTTGGGTTCTGGAAATCCCCTCTCCTGTCCCCTGACCTCCATCTCTGGGCAGCTGAGAGCAGCTGACTTCCCACAGCCAGGCTGGAGGGGTCTCAGGCTCTGGGAAGGATTTCTGCCTCCCCAGAGAGGGCTGGCTGGCTCAGCCTCCTCGGGCAGCACTCCGTGTTAACCTCACCTCATGACCATGTTTCTGGTTTACCGGGAACCAGGCAGAATCTGCCGAGTCCTCAAAATATGAGAGGCTGAGGTTTTCTCTGCTGGTGTCTGTCTGGCATCCTGCTGGTCCTTACCAAGGGATCCAGGGAATTGGGTTTACAAAAATCTGGAGTGGGGTGCAAGATAGGGCCCTTGTCCCCTGGCTCCCAGCCTAGTGGCAGGGCAGCCTCAGCCTGCATATTGGGAGAGAGGCTCTCCCCCAGTCTGCCAGTCCTCTGTTCCAACCTCACTTGCTGTGTGATCTCAGGCAGAGACCTTTGCCTCTCTGGGTCTCATGAACCCGTGTGTACAAAGAGATGATTGGATCTCCATTCATTGTGTGTGTGTGTGTGTGTGTGTGTTCATGGGCTGTGCTTGAGTGTGCCTGTGTGAGAGATGGGGAAATTTGGAAATGGGGCGGCATTTTTGGTTGTCACAAGGATGAAGGCAGGATGCTGTTGGCATTAATGCTGAGAATCCAGGGATTCTAAGTGTCCTGCAGTGCACAGGATAGTCTCATATCATGAAGGCCATTTGTGTCTTATTGAGAAATTCTGGGCAGGATCATTTCCCAGGTCTGTGGCTTTTGATATTTTAAGATTGTTATTGGAAAGGAGCTCATTGCTACTTAATCTGAGGAGGAATTTTTCTATGCTAATATAACTATCGTCACTTGAGTCAACAGGCACAGAGCCAAGGAATGAAGAAGCCCCTCAAAGACTGTCCCATAAGAGGGTGGGTCTGGCCCCTTGGTGGGTGTGACTGTGGGAAGGTTTGGGATTAAGGGTTGGAGGGATTGGAATTCCTAGTCTTAACAGACAGAGGGAGCAAGCCTGAATGGGTGCAGGGCGAGGAGGCGTGGGAGGAGAGGAGAGAGGAGAAGGCATGGGTGGAACACTGGGTCCCTGGAAGGTGGGGGCCCTCGGAGGCAAAGTGGGCAGAGGAAGGTTCTTGGAGGGGCAGAGTTGGGCAGAAAAGGATATTGAAAACCAGGGATGTCAAATGTTCAGTGTGAAGTGTGTACTGCGGTGTAAACATGCCTCCACATTCCGTCATCAGTTCAGTCTACACCCACTCACATGCTTCTTGGGAATAGGCGTTTTTCCTGGTAACTGAGGAAGGGGCTGAATGGTTTATCTTAGGAGACACACTGAGGAGCTGAGATGGTGATGAAAGGGCCACTGAGATGAACCACAGCTGGTCTGACTCAGAGGAGGCAGTGGTGAGGAGCAGAGAGACTGCGAGAAGGCAAGAGCCCCCATGAGAAAATCTTGGGGAGGGCTTGCAACTTCCACGGGCCTGTAGTGAGTTACTGCGGCTAAACAAGCAGGTTCCCTGTTCAGGATACCTGGGCCCAAATCGCAGCCCTGCCCTTTCTACCCATGTGACCTTGGCGAGTCACACACACTTCTCTAAGTGTGCTGGCGTCCTCATCTGTGAAATGGGGGTAACATTAGTGCTTCCTTAGATTTCGTTGCGAAGATGAAATAGCAGGATCCGTAAAGGGCATTGAGCGCAGCCCCTGACACGCTTCTCAGTGGATATTAGTTGATATTGATCACAGATGATGGTTCCTATGCTCCCTTGTCTCTGGGGGCAGGGAGGCAGCGGCTGACATTTGGATTTCAAGTACACTTTCTCATCTAATGCTCACACCAAGTCCACAAGGCAAATATTTGACTCCTCATTG